ATTGTTGGGTTTTTCTCTGTATGTATTATTGTAGGGTCGACCTTACAGTATAAAGCACCTTGAGGCGACTGTTGTGATTTGGCGCTGTGTAAATAAAACCAGCTGAGGAGAGGCGCCAGTGGCTACCACGAAGCCTCCATCATGGATCAGAGCACTACGGTGGGGCGGAGCCACTCAGACAGGTAAGTTTTCATTCTGAGTGGCTCCGCCCCTTTTTGGGGCGAAATATGACAGGTGAAAAAAACCACCTGAACATCTCCATGCTGAGCATCAATCAGAGAAATAAGCACATAAACAATCAGCCTGATCAATCAGTGCCTGCATCACACAGAAACTGGCCCCACCCCCTGACCTTGAGGAACTGACACCTGGTGTGTGCTGGCGACGGCCTGCCAGTGACTCATCAGGCGCTCCGACTCATCTTCATCCATCGGCTCGGGGTTGTCTGTGATGTCATCGTCCAGCTGCTCGTCATCCAATCCATCGAGATCCTCCAAAGAGATCAGTGCCATGACCTTCGACCTGCAGAAAATCCGCTGAGAGGAGGTGGGGATGCGACTCCTGCAGAAAGATGAGGAATTTGTCAGAAACATGTGACCCGGAAAAGCCTACTGCAGCCAATCAGAGCTAGCCATGATTGGCTCGTGTAATAACCATGTTGTGCACGCACTCAGAACACAATTATGCTATAACAGGAACCCTGTTTTACCCTAAACCATAACCTTTAACCTAAACTCTTTCGGGTGAAGTACCCATCCTTCACATCATCGTGGCCTGACCTGAGGCGGAGCTCCAGGTTAACTGGTTAGAGTTGTTTACATATTCCACACTCCGGGTACCACATGTTGCATCATCGTGATGCGTGCTCAGTCACCCAGGTAAGTAAATCTCCAAAGGTTGATTCTGTTCATCTGGACGTTTTCAGTGGGAGAAACGTTTCGTCATCATCAGGTGACGTCTTCAGTCTCAGCTGACTGCAGGTTTCAACCTTATAAACTTACATTTGCATAATGACTGAAACCAGCCACTGAAGGAACAATGGGCTGGGAGGTCAGTTCCTTAATCTTAATTATGCAAATTCTCATGACCACTGATCAATAACCATGAGTCCCATTCACAGAGAGTTGGGGAATGGCTGCAATCACAGCATGTAAGATGGTGACAGATGTACCCTTAGGCCCCTCCTCGATTCAGAGATGGTCTTTCCCAAAGAGGCCATTTGGAAAGGGAAAGACCATCTCTGAATTATCCAAATGTTCTGTTTATAAGATTGAAACCTGCTGAGACTGAAGAAGTCACCTGATGAGTGACGAAACGTTTCTCCCACTGAAAACGTCCAGATGAACAGAATCAACCTTTGGACACATGTTGGATCCACAGATTCGTCTTTTTCACCGAGCAGCCCTCTCTGTCTGTCAGTCAGTGTGTCCGTCATGCAGTAAGATTAAAGACCTGCCAAACACAGCTCTACGTCTCCAGCTCGTACGTTAAATTATAATAATAATTCAGAACAACAACCTCAGACTTCCTTCCGCCTGGTCTCCCGGTCATCCTTACCGCGGATCCAACAGGTGAACACAGAGATCTAAACAACACACTGCCCGGGTGCCGTTAGCACGGTGCTAAGGCCAGCGCGGAGCCACTATTAGCACAGCTAGTTTAATTAGCAAAAGCTAAGCGCGATGATCAGCTCCCGGTCATCCTTACCGCGGATCCAACAGGTGAACACGGAGATCTAAACAACTGTAACACTGGCCCGGGTGCCGTTAGCACGGTGCTAAAGCTAGCGCGGAGCCACTATTAGCACAGCTAGTTTAATTAGCAAAAGCTAAGCGCGATGATCAGCTCCCGGTCAGAGCGCTTAGCTCGATCCGGTTCGTATTACCAGGTTCTGCACTCACCTGTCCGCCAGGTGAGACCACAGATATCGACGCGTCTGTGAAACAGAACAACAAACTGTTTCTTCTTCTCCGCTTTCAGCAGCCTAGCTGCTTCACGACGACGGCACCGGAAATACGTCACCGTCACACTAGGACCAACTACAAAAGAAGAAGAGAACTCCTGATTAGCCAATCAGAGAGCAGCGCAGTGAACGTTTGATACTGCAGCTGCATCGTCATCAATGATTCATGTGAATACACCTGATCAGGTGATCTGTCCTGCTGCTGTAAATAAAAGGTAATAGTTTTATGTTCTACAGCAGCGGTCCGTTTTCTGCGCAATGGACCGGTTTACGACAATATTTTCACAAACCGGCCTTTAAGGTATCGCGGATAAATATAACAAAATAAAACCAGTACCAACAAATCAAGTTAACGATAAATTTAAAATAAAAAAGAAAAAAGATTACCCTGAAAACCAATAAAAACCCTGAAAACCATAAATTTCACACCCAGGCCTCAACTCTTGCGTCCCAGTGCCAAACGACTCACATACCAGTCCGTGGCTGTGGTTGGGGACCACTACTCTACAGTTGTGACAGTCAGGTAACACCTGTCCACTGTACAAGTGATCAAACACATGTTACTGAAGCACAAGGTCAGAAAGAGAACACCCAAATCCTGCAGTTTTTATTTGTGGTTGCTGCTCACAGCAAATACACTCAGGTTTCCCCACATGTACACAGGCTGTGGTGGGAGTGGTAATAACACAGGTGTGTTCAGCAGCATCGATCCTGTGTGGGCGTTGCTCCGCACTGCTGAAGGAGCGCTCGTCTGGTTCACCTCCAAAGACAAACCTGAGGTTACCTCGAGGGGTGGAGCCAGCCTGACATAGTCTTGCTCCTCACGGCTGTGACTACTTTTAGGAGTTTTGACTGGTCGCTGCAGATGAGCTCATAGTAACGACACGCCACCTTAACATCTGGAACCAAAACTTTATTTACAAAAACAAACCTGCCGTCTTACAGTCATTTAACCTCAACATTAAAAAAAAAAAAATTCTAAAACTATTAAAAAACAAACAGGAAGAAAAGAATGAATTGAAGGGGCGGGGCTCTGGTGTGATGTCATCCAGGTTAGATCAAATCAGCAACTGCAGAGAGAAAAACAGTGAACCAATCAGTGAACAGAATCAGACCGACAACAACAACATGCGAACAGTGACATCAGCAGGCCCCTGATTGGCTGCCTCGTACCGTTCATGGGCATCTCATCGATCTGGGTGGAGTAATACTGCTCGATGTCTCGCAGGATGCGGATGTCGTCATTCTTCACAAAGTTGATGGCCACACCCTTACGCCCATAACGCCCCGACCGGCCAATCCTGAAGAAGGTCAGAGGTCATAGCATTAGTCACGAAAAAACACTCCCTGCTCTCCTCAAAGGACCACCGGACCCAAACCTGTCTAAGCCCCTCCCCCAAAGCACTCTGCTCAAGTCTAATCCCTGACTGGTGTGGAAGGACACGTGGGGACTAGTTTGTGTGGAGGGATACCTGTGGATGTAGAGCTCTCTGTTGTTGGGCAGGTCATAGTTGATGATGAGCGAAACCTGAGGAACATCCAGGCCTCGAGCCCAGACATCGGTGGAGATCAGCACACGACTGAAACACAAAAACCCAGAGGTCAGTCTCTGGATCAGAATCTGGTCCTGGTCCTGGTCCTGGTCCTGGGCCGCTCACCTGGCTCCTGATCTGAACTCCTTCATGATGGACTCCCTCTCCTTCTGCGGCATGTCTCCGTGCATCGATGACACCGTGAAGTTGGCCTCCCTCATCTTCTCTGTCAGCCAGTCCACCTGAAACACAAACACACTACGTTTCCCATGATGCTCTGATGATGCGCCTGCTCACACAGGAGGACGTGCACAGACCTTCCTCTTGGTGTTGCAGAAGATGACGGCCTGCGTGATGGTCAGCGTGTCGTAAAGGTCGCACAGCGTGTCGAACTTCCACTCCTCCCTCTCCACGGCAACAAAGAACTGCTTTATCCCCTCCAAGGTCAGCTCATCACTGCGGCCGAGAGACAACATACAGAGAGAGAGACGTGGTGAGAGTAAGGTGGGATCAGGTTTCACTCTGAATAATCTCAGCTCCACGTTTCTGCCAGAAACCCGATCAACTGACCGTTTGACGAGGATGCGGATCGGGTCGGTCATGAACTTGTTGGTCATCTCCAGGATCTCGTGCGGCAGCGTGGCGCTGATCAGGACCACCTGCGTGGCGGGGGGCAGGTAGCGGTACACGTCGTAGATCTGCTCCTTGAAACCTGGACACAGAAAGCCGACAGGAAGTTAGACGCTGGACGGGTGTTTCAGTCTGGTGGTTACGGTGTGACATCACAGAGGGTGCGTTCCTGCTCCAGGTGACACGCGCTCACCTTTGTTGAGCATCTCGTCTGCCTCGTCCAGCACCAGCATCTTGATGGCTCTCGTTCTCAGGCTGCGGCGCCGAATCATGTCTGAAGTAAACAAACAAAGGTGAGCTCCTATTGGCTATTGCAGTCAGAGGCTGGCCAATCAGGAGCCAGAAGCTGAACAACACATGTTGTCCAGACATTTCCTCCAGACACACAGGGGTGATTAATAAAACTCCATACAGCGTAATGTTGTGATGTTTAGTCTGGCAATATCGAGATTTTATCATAAACAAGAGTAATAAAAGCAGTTGCTTTTTCAGGCCAGCAGATGGCGCCATTTGTCGCTAGCGTGTCAGCACCTGGGATAAAGTCGTAACAAAGATGGACGCAGAGAAAGAAAACGCTTCGACGCGGCATCAGAGCCAACGCTGCCTTTCCCGTCTACAGAATTTTAAAATTTACAGTGACCATCAAAACCATCAACAAATGTTGCCGCAAAGTTTATTTTGCGACACTGTGGAACAAACGATAGCACAATATGAAACGATAAATGTTTTTATTTCGTCATCCGAGATATATCGAACAGCCTTACTTCAATGTAACATCGTCTGTGTGTGAGATTATGCGTGCAGGGAACACCCGGAGCAACCGACTGCGTTCTCCTCTCCAGCTCGAGACCTCAGAGCACAAACAGAACGTGTTTCACATCCTGTTTCCAGCAGCGGTATTTCATGGGCTCAAATTGTGCTCATAAATATTTTGAACTTGTAAATCATCAAAAAAAAGAATTTGTGTGGACTTAGTCAAAAATACGTGTGAAACTCTTCACTCAAGTTTCAAGTTACAAGTACAAATTTTGACCCTATTTTTCTTCCTTTCAGCTGATTGGTCAATGTCATGTCAATCACAAATTTAACTATCCAATCAGAGTTTGGCTGTTGGAGGAGCGCTTTACGGAGCTTCAGGTCCTGGAAGAATAAATGCCTTTTACATGCCAGCCCAGCGTTTTCCTTTGTTTGGTGATTTTGGTGTCACAGGTCTACGTGCTTAGACAGAGACCTCCAGAACCTTTCTCTGTGGACCCTGTGGGGCAGTGTTGTGGAAATGACAGTCTTCACTAGTGGGGATGGTTACAAAGCTTTCTGGTTATGAATTAGCGATTCATGTTTTTATTAAACATTTGAAAACAACACACATAAAGTCATAGGCATAAAGTCAGAGACAGAAACGACAGGTGCATCTAGTGCAGGTAGAGCTGCAGCACACAGAGCTCAGCAGCCAGCAACTAATCCTGCATCCTTGGCTTTTAGTTAGCAGTTAGCATTAGCAGCACATGCTGCGACTTTTATGCTGCGCACTGACTCACAGCCATGGTCCCGGGTCAGCCCTGACTTTGTGTTAAACTAATCCTAAAGTAATGATGTGTTTCTAACCACTGATATAACTTTATCCTTTCAACAGCTGCTCAAAGTTAGCAGCGAGGTCCCCTATCAGATATTTACACAGAGATCCTCCAGCTTCAACCTGTATTAGCACCCCTCCGACAGCCAAACCCATCTGTTCTCTGATTGGATAGTTAAATTTGTGATTGACATGACATTGGCCAATCAGCTGACAGGAAGAAAAATCAGGTCAAAATTTGTACTTGTAACTTGAAACTTGAGTGCAGACTTTCACACACAAATTCTTTTTACTCATACAAAACTGATTTACAAGCACAAAATATTTATGACCACAATTTGAGCCCATAGTCTTTCACACTGTTCATGTTTTGTGTGTGACTGTGGAGCAGAGCCGCGGCTGCGTCCAGCGCTGACAGGTGAACAGACAGGTGTGAGTCTGGTGGGTTTGTTCCAGTGAAATGCGTCAGCGTACAGAGACACGTTGGACAATTTGCCGGTCCCAGCCTGTGGGAACAGTTTGGAAAAGCCCCTTCCTGGTGTGGAAGTCCTGACCTCAGCCCCACAGAACAGCACCGGGCTGTGAGCTTCCAACATCGACCTCACGGACGTGCGTCCAGCTGCATCCTGTTAAAGTCTGTGGATTAAGACGGAGGTCGATCGAGTTCACGCGAGCCTGAAGGCAGACGTAGTGAACGACATCACGCCTCTTTCACACCGCCAGGCCACCAGCAGATAAATGTTTTCACTTCCTGTTTCAAGGTGCCGTTGTTAATGGGCTTCTCGCCATCCTGAGCGCCGAGATCATGACCTGGAAACAGGTTTCGTCTGACTGGATCTCGTTTCATCAAATTATAATGTGGGAGCGTCTCCCACCTCGACCGATCGGACGCGACGATGACAGCAGGTGCGGGTCACATGACCTACTCAAACTCACCGAACACTCGTCCTGGCGTGCCCGCCACGACGTGCTGGCCGTAGTCAAGCTTGCGTATGTCCTCGCCCACGTTGGTGCCCCCGATGCAGGCGTGACACTGCACGTTCATGTAGTCTCCCAGAGCGAGCAGCACCTGCGCACACGTGCAAACAGCCAATCAGAAAACAGCACATACGATCACAGGTGATCAGCCAGCTGTGGCGAGGGGCGGGCGTACCTTTTGAATCTGTCCAGCGAGCTCTCGAGTCGGAGCGAGGATCAGAGCCTGCGTCTCCCTCACCTGCAGATAGGAAACGCATCACAGCGTCACAACAACAGTTTAACCCATCTGCTTGAAAAGGCCACGCCCACCAAGGCTGCAACAGACTCACCTGGATGTCGAGACACTGCAGCACAGACACGCAGAAGG